AAATGCATGAACATTGTTCTGTTTCTCGTTTTTATAAATACTTACGTGAATAGTACTAAATCATTGGTGTTATTGCTATCTAATAAGGTTAATCAAAGGTGTTAATGATTTAGCCCTGATCAACGAGTTACGCCTTGCTGCACACATGCGCCATAGATGGACATAACAAACACTCATGTGCCACACAGGTAATCTTCACCCAGATGAATTAATTTGCCGACTGTTCATCAAGGAAGCAAAATGATGTTCTGAAGTTTTCTACTTTTTTATTTTCTTCTAGTTGGCAGCTAGCAAGCGCTTCGGGACACACATATTCTCTTTCGGAGGGTACCAGAACATATTCTGACCTTGGTACTTTCAAACAAAAGGCCGTCTCCATCACCCGAGTATAAGGAATATATATTTTCTTCTATAAAAAAAGCTTACTGCAGGGCGTAGATTTCGAAACTCTCTTAGCGCTAAGATAGTCGTAAGTGCCATACATTAACATTAAATTACGACTACCTTAGCGGTAAGAGAGCTTCGAAAATCTAGGCCCTGAAGGTTATTTGCTATAATCAATCCAAACGCTTATTCACTGGGTGTCCTATGTTTACTTTGCAGGCGCCGTTGACATAAAGGAGACCCTGCCAAGAAAGGGACATACCAGCCACCTGCATTTCTGCATTTTCCTCTGCACTTTCCTGTACTCTTGGTGTTCCTTTACTCCAGATGGCGTATAATTATGTTATTTGACTCTATATAGAGTCAGTAAGGAATAGACAAAACCGAGACAAACTGTGACTCCTTTCGTTGTTTAAAATAAACATTTGATGAAATTTAACGTTTCTTGTGTGTTTGTATATGTGCACATGAAGTATGACGGTGTCTTTGTCTGTTACAAATGAACACAAATCTGGGACTTCCAACTACGTGTGTGTCATTGTTTGTTTTTTGTTCAACACCGCACTCAGCAATATGCCATCCACATTGCGGCTGTCAGTAAGTATTTGAGTCATGACCAGACAATGCAATGATCAACATCATGAGCGCTATCCACGCATTTGGGATACGATGACATGCGTCAACCAAGTCAGCGAGCCTGACCACCCGATTCCGTTAGTCGCCCCTATTACAAAAAGCATGGGTTGGTGAAGATCAATTCTAACCCGGATCTTCTCCGTTTATAGGTACACAACTCTAGAGCTGGTACAATTAACAACTATGTGACTAATGTCGTTCCACCAGATGAGTGATAACAAGACTACAGACTGGCGACATCTTATTCATTTTACGAAATGACCGAAATTTTTAGTCATTTCACGAAATGACTGATTTCACAATCTGTCTGTAACATATACGTCTGTGGATAAACTTTATGTTATAATGATGTGTGGTCTTGTGTATGTAGGTGTTTGGTCTGACCTTAGGCAAGTGTGTTTGGTCAAAACTGCTGCTATTCTCCCAGCAGAAAACGTCATATGACTATTAACCTTCTAGCGCCTCATAAGCAGCTTGGGTTTTTCGGGGTAATAATGTCCATTATGCTTACACTAGCCCCGTGCAGTGTGGATTTCAGTGCTATTTTGGCCTTGTTATTTCCCACCACTTTACGTCCAATTGTAATATATATAATGAGACTTTCTAACACCTTCTCAGTGCACGCCCAGCAATACCACAAACACATTATCTTAACACGATGGGGTGGGTCGTCCTTTTCTACCCACCTTCGCCTTGTTGGTGGTTGTGACTCAGTTGTCTGTGTCGTCATGGAAAAATGACAATTACAAAGTTCTCAAAGCCAACAAACCCAACCTTTTAACTATATCAATAGAAACTATATACATCATGGCAAATATGCGGGCCTCCCTTTGAAATGCCTTGCTTGCATCTTAAGTTCCAAGTTATTATTATAGGATATCTACATAGCGCACATATCCAGGCAACTAGTGCATGCTAAAAAGGCGCTGGTACTTTTCCCCCTCGATCATTGGATGTCATCTAAAAGGCACATCGTATTATCAATCTCAACTCCCTGGGGAGTATACAACTCTTGCAGCCACTAGGCGCACCGAGTTATTGTGGCTTTCTCATCCTAACGATGTCCAACTCCTCGATGTTCTTGGTGCCATAGGTTTGGTACCACCTTATCTCTTGACTGAAATTGGAAGAGTATTTGGATTTGCTGTCAAGGAGACAGGCCTTCTGGCACTCTAGTTAATGCATAAGGCTGCAGACCTTTACATGCCTCGAAAGGTTTTTGGTGGGTTTGACTAGGCAGCGCTTCCCGGGAGAAGTCCCATAAGGCGTCTGGGCTGCGTGCTATCAGGAACACAGCCCTTCTGACACTCTAGGTAATGCGTAAGGCTGCAGTCTTTGGGGAGTCTTCACTTCCTCCGAAATGAGGTTCGACATTCGGTTTGTAGAACGTTCCTCGGGCAGGGGGATGGACTTATATAAAGTCCCGTCCCGTACTTAACTAACGAGCAACAGAAACGAAATAAAAATTTATTTTGATAATTCGAACTCAAATTTTGTAGGTAGTTATGAGCTTAAAACAATCGCCACAATGCTTTCCTAACATTTGTCACGAAAAATGTTGTGTTTGGGCGAACAGTATCACCGCAACAAGTCTTGAAACACGAAAATCTTGTGAACGGACGTGCATCTTTGGGTTATGAGCGTGCACGCAAACAATGGGCTTCGACATCCTATCAGTCGGCGAATAGCAGCTTGACGACTCAGACAATACGGTATCCTTTCCTACAGATCCTACCGTGGTGTACGGCTGACGCTTCAACATCGACGTCAACGTCTTCGATGGGCACACATAGTTCGCCAGTATCAAAACAGACAGTGACAGGGAGTGATGTTCTCAGGCGAAAGGAGGCCCCAGCTGTTCGGGAATGATTGCAGGGTTGGTGTTTGATGGCAGCAGTGTCGTGGTTAGGGGTTGCATATGTGACGATATGAAGGCAGATCTTGTTGTGGTGGATGGTAATCTCACTGCTCAACGATACATTGATCAAATTCCGCGTCCGGTTGTGCTACAATTCCTACGTCAACACCGCGCCTACAGATCCTACCGTGGTGTACACTTCAACATCGACGTCAATGTCTTTGATGGGCACACATAGTTCACCAGTATTAAAACAGACAGTGACAGGGAGTGATGTTCTCAGGCGAAAGGAGGCCCCAGCTGTTCGGAAATGCTGACAGGGCTGGTGTCTACAGACTCCGTGGAGAAAGTTTTCTGTTTATAGGAAGTGGAACCGTTTGATGGCAGCGGTGTCGTGGTTAGGGGTTGCATATGTGACGATATGAAGGCTGTTCTTGTTGTGGTGGTTGGTAATCTCACTGCTCAACGATACATTGATCAAATTCCGCGTCCGGTTGTGCTACAATTCTTACGTCAACACCGTAACCGGATCATGTTCCAGCAGGACAACGCCCGTCCCCGTACAGCACGTATTGTCATGGATTTTCTACAGAGAAACAACGTCAACATACTTCCTTGCCCCCAGGTCACCTGACGTGTCAGCAATTAAACACTTGTGGGACCATATGGATTCGTGCTATAACCGTTGTTCCTGGAAACTGACGCCAGCTTGCCCAAGCCCTTCAAGTGGAATGGCGAAGGATCCTTGCCCAAGGTGTACGACGTCTGACGTTCTTAGCACGTCGTAGAGTTAGGGCTTGCATTGATGCCCACGGTGGGCATACCAGACACTGCCCACGTGTGTCCTTTTGTTTACATCTGTGATCGAATACTGGACACTTCATTCCTTCATTTTTACAGTAACTCAATGGACTTTTATCATTGCTACTCCGATGTTGCCCATACATCTGTTACTAGTATTAAAATTCACTGTCCTTTTTCACAATGGTGGTTCGTCGTTTTGTAGTGACAGTGATTTCGACTTGATATCGTTTCTTTTGCCCATTAGTTTATATTCTATACCAAGTATCCTTTGCCTGGGATAGTCTTTAGAAGGTTCCCAAGTCCGTGTTTTCATAAAACTTCCCTGGGATATAGTATGGAAAGTTCACCTGTTCCAGGCATGTTCTATGAAAACGCTCCCCTAGAATGTTTCATTATCCGAGGCATATTCAGTAGAAAGTTCCTTTGTCCAAGGGATATTCTATAAAAAGTTGCCCAGTTTTAGGGGTGTTCTTATAAAGGTTCCTTGTCTCCTGGATATTCTACAGAAACTTCATCTGTTCCTGGGATATGCTATGGCAAAGGTCCTTTTCCCAGAAATAATCTGCAGGAAATGTCCATGATAAGTACGGAAATGTTTGTTAGACATTGTAAACCAGAATTACGCAATGACCAAGCTTGTAGTTCTATTTTAATGCAAAGTTCCTCTTTATTGTAAATATTGTCCATAGGTATAAATATAATTTATATTTGGACACACTCCACACCTATAAGATCTGAGTTAATGTAATGCTGTTTCAGTGCATTCAGCAGTATAACCTCTCAGCTGGGACTTTCTCCAAATTATTCCCCTGTGTCAGTGATATTCAATTAAAACATAGATTTTCTACAGACAGTACCTCCAGCCCAAGGGTATGGATACACATGTCTTATTTCTAGAATATGCCCTCTTACCATCCGGCAGGCGATACCCAGTGCCACGTTTTAAAACTAATAGATTTAAAAACTCTTTTGTACCATCTAGTATTAGACTCCTAAATAATGGTTAGATTTTGTTTTACCTCAGCGAACTGAATGTTCTATGTACATGTATGTGTTATGTCTGTCTTATGTCTTATATTGCTATATGCGTCATGCATCGTATATTATTCTATACTTTCAAATGTAAAAAGAATTCCCTCCTGTGGGTAATAAAGTATTGTCATTGTCATTCTATAAAGAGTACCTCACTTGAGACATTTCCATATTTGAGTACAATCCACATACATGAATGTGATATATGATGAAACGTCAATCCACAAAAGTACTCTGTATGTTTCAGTGGAAGAAACTTGAAGAAAATTTCAACAACGCAATGTGACCTTCATCTTTATAGCTTTCATTGTTCAAAACGAATCATAGTATATGTGAAGCAAAGCGCACAGGTGGAAAAGTTAACGTTACACCGAACACTACAGAATAGAAAGGAGCAATAATTTTCTGCATCGTTATTTTTAATAATCATTTTATTGTGAAATTAAAGACAACATTGTTGGGATTGAGATGATTGAGGGTAATTGCTCTGTCGAGTTTATCTGTAGATATTATGACAATTCGTGATTTTGACATTAAAATCTGTTCCAAGAGGTAGTGAGAGTACACCATGTGCCTCTGAACACTGTCATAACCACACACTTACAACCTAGGTCGATTCCTATCCCCATCTCAAGCAAACCCACTTAAGCATAGCCAAACGTTAGACATTAAAAGCATAATAATCTGGAGTAAAGGAAAATCAAGAGTACAGGAAAGTGCAGAGGAAAATGCAGAAATGCAGGTGGCTGGTATGTCCTTTCCTTCATGGCAACGGCGCCTGCAAAATAAACATCGGACACCAAGTGAATCAGCGACTGGATTGATGTATCAGTACATGAACCGTATTGAAGCAAGAACATATGTCTAGATTATGGTTGAAGGCAGTAAATGGTACACAGTGCCAGTTTCATGGACCTAGACAAAGGCACGTTTTGTAAATCATAGCAATATAACCTTCTGCTTTGCGCTTTTGTTATAGAAGAAAATACTTATATACCTTATGCTCGGGTGATGGACACGGCCTGTTGTTTGAAAGTACCGAAGACAGTATACCTTCCGACTGTATCGTCAAGAGGGTATGTATTTCCCGCAGCGCTTGTCAGCTCCCATCTGGAAGAATTTAAAACATCTTAATGTGAAAGAGTTTCAACGATCAGCATTCAATACACTACAGGTTATGTCCGGGTTCATTTCTTGCCCTATACTTAACCTAGCGCCTGTTTCAGTTGGTATACAAGGCAGTAGCATCACTCATTAGCCACATCCAACTGATGGTCAGAACATATTGTGGGACATTAGGGGTTACTTTGTGTGATATTTTTTTATATACTTACCTTCCATGGATTACAATGGCTGACTGAGCTCTGTTCTGAAAGTTTTTCAAATCCGGTATGTCTGTAGAGACTGGTACACAGTCGCCAGTGAGGTTGGTATTGCTGTACAAGATAACTTTTATTTCTGGCTGAACGCTCTGAAATGAGAAAGCAGGTATTGATAGATAAGGACATCGCCAAGTTATCAATGTTCATACTTTTAGCCACTGGGTTGTCCTGGGTCAATATTCGTGTATTTACCTTTAGTCGTGGCAAAGCTTGGAATATTTACCATGACGTATTCTGAATCCTCACTCAAGAGATCACTGAGCTCATCATTTGTAGCTGAAGTTTTCAGCAATTTTTCAAATTAGACAAAGCAAAGAGATGGCTTTCACATCAAATGATCTTAAGGTGATGGCTCTTTATATAAATAGAGTGGCGGTGTGGTAGTCCAGTGGTTAAAAAGTCCGCTCGTCACGCTGAAGACCTGGGTTCGATTCCCCACATGGGTACCATGCGTGAAGCCCAATTCTGGTGTCCGCCGTGATATTGCTAGAATAGCTAAAACCAGCGTAAAACCATACTCACTCACTCAAATGAATAACGGTTATTGTTATTTGGTAATTTTATTGAAGGTGTTAACGCTGAAAATTGCCACTTTGCTGTTAAACAACATGTCTGTAAACCACACCCTTGTTATTCCTTTGGGTGATAAAATGAACAAGATCATGCGTGCTTTTTGTGTTTCTCATTTCCAACTTGAAGCAGTAAGAGAATGGCAAAAAAACAACAAAAAAACATAAATAAATAAAAATAAAAAATAAAAATGTAAAATAAAATAAAAGTAAAAAATGCATCAAACTTGATTGTCCAAATTGTGTACCTTACAATTAAATCTTTATATTAATATAATTATGTTGATGGAGTGTTTTGCCTCGAAAACATTTTTAATAGATGCAGATGAAGAAAGATCAAGCTGATATCTTTTTTTATGTAAGTGTTTTTAATCACATCATGGCATACACTTTCACAGTAGAGGGGAAAATGGAAATCAGAAACCTTTTACTTTTTTTATATCCGAATTCATAGTTGGCGCGAGGAAGATGGGAAACACACAGAGAAAGAAATGTAGAAAATATTGGACAATTCAGCGTTTTTGTAGAAACACAACTTAGATATTGCTAGTTTAAGATTAGGGATCCAACCATACCATGTTGCTGCAGATATCTGGAACTTTCAAACCTGAAAAAGAAACATGATATAATTACCACGTGTCAAAAAGGTAAATGACACATGGAGTCCAACATACATGGGGTGAGCACCAGAATAACCCTTGCTCAAACCCTCTCGTGGGGATGTCAATGTAATAAGAAAACCATCGATAATAACTTTTGGTTCTGACCAGGCTAGCTATTCTCGAAACGTTCGTAGCCGTACGAACTTCTTAAGCTTATTCTTTACACATTCGCTACGATCAAAGTTAAGAATTCTTAGGGCTACGAACGTTTCAAGAATAAGGGCCCTGGCTAGCTATTCTCGAAACGTTCGAAGCCGTACGAACTTCTTAAGCTTATTCTTTACACATTGGCTACGATCAAAGTTAAGAATTCTTAGGGCTACGAACGTTTCAAGAATAAGGGCCCTGGCTAGCTATTCTCGAAACCTTCGTAACCTTACGAACTTCTTAAGCCCATTCTTAACAAACTGACTACTATCAAAGTTAAGAATTCTTAGGGATACGAACGTTTCGAGAGTAAGGGCCCTGGTTCTTACCCATAAAGTTGCATGTTTTTTCATTTTCTGACCAACTTCTAGAACGTCAAGCACGCAACTGTCAATGCATTGACTGTTGGACATCGGATTTCCAGAACGGCTCTAGGGTATTGATAGACAAGTACGAGGTTTAATGCATGCAAATATAGGGCAAGGTTTTCATGAGTTAGATCTCATGATTCAGGTTGTGTATCATTTGCAAATATTATCAAATGATGGATAAGAACATTGGAATATTTTTTTTGTTTCACTATCAGTAGTAAAATATCTTTCAGATTCCAGCCTAACCAACCTCTTATTTAATAGGTTCACACACAAAACTAACTTTCATGTTAACTGTGCCAATTGTCATGGTAACTCAGGCTCTCTTAAAGTATGGTTCTGTACACAGAGTTCCACAAGACATACGCACTGAGCAATATCAGACAATATCTACATTTCACCCAATCAGAGGCTTCGTTCTGTTGTCATGGCACATCTTTGTAATATATTACTTCTGAATATCTTGGGTTAGAGGAACCAGGAGACATACACTGAAACAATACGTGTTTAGTGTGTAAATGTTTTGTTACATTTTACACAACACTGCTCATGAACTATACGACATACATTTAGTTAGATCGCCTACAGCTGTTAATGACTGAGTGTTAACACTAATAACTTGCATTGTAAGAGAATGCTAAAACATATATAATGTGAAAAAACTTCTAGGTAATAGGATTATGGACGCAATGTTGTAACTATTTTTATGGTACACTCGGTTATCATGCACAATTTGTATGTTTATTGTCATAGTTCTGCTGTTCAGTGACATATAAACTACCGGGCAAAAGAAACTTATCACTTTTCAAGTAATTGTATCAAAACCACAAAAGAACCGCCGGTACAGGTTTTGACCCAAACAGAAAACATTCACCAAAACTCAGCATGGTCCCGATAACAACGCAACTGTCCAAACACTTCGTGTGAATCGTGCATTTTTCGAAACGTTTGCGGAGTTTTACCAATGCCTCCAACTGAATAGAATTCATGACGCAATGTTGTAACTTTTTATGGCACACTTTTTGAACACCGCACTCAGCAATATTCCAGCTATATTACAAGTCATCAAGTCTGGGCCAGACAATCCAGTAATCAAAACTCATGTTGTGAATATATGTTTTACATATGTTGCTGTTGTGAACTTAAGCACCCTGTATGTATATATACGTCCCATCACTTAAAACACTCACTATATGTTATGCATGTATATATGGTTACATCGAAGATTGACTTCTCCACCAACTTGGGGGGAACCAACTGCAAACCTTATGCAAATGAATTGCACGAGGATCATGCATCTAATTGCTGTAAAGTATATGCAAATATCGTGCATGTGAACAGCTGCGTTTTGGTGTAAAGTTTCGTTAAGAATTCGCCAATTTTCACTGATATTTATCATTTATTAAACTCATGATAATACTCTTTTCAACGTTACGACATTATTTTACAATACATAAGTTCCTGTGTAAACAGTACCTTTAAACAGTATCGAATATTTTGCAAAATGTAGTTTAGAACAGTTGCCTGGAGTAAGTGGCTATATTTACACTTGTGAGTCTAAACTTTTGATGGGAAGTATATGTTGCATTCATGTTGTATTTGGGCCTATGGACTTTATACTGAAAAATCTTCTTTTAATACATCTCATCTTGTGTTATTTCGGCAATGCAATCACCGTTAAATGTTCAAAACAAAAAGTCGAAAATGCGACTTCGCGACACATGAAAATTATCTATCTCTCATTATCTAATCCATTAAGGAAGTGAAAATGCAATAACGTGAAGTATCTTCTGTTACATTTACTTCATCTGGAGGCGGTTCACGAGTCAGCCCGGTTCCCTGGGCAGCGTTACAGAATTGTATCGTTTGTTTCCACGCACATCAATATGGCAAGAACTGAAGCCGAATGTTGCCACTTTTGCAGCATGAATTATGTTTTGCAATAGAAATATCTCGTTGCTTCCACTATTTTTTAGTTGTTTCAAGTTTCTTTAAAAACTTCAACTTTCGTGTATTTTGTCGTTGCTTCCATTATTTTCCCGGTATTTCGATTATTTTCTGGTTAGTTCCCGATTTTGGAAAGAAACTTGAAGTAACGAGAATATAATGGAAGCAACGAGAAAATATTCTAATTTTCATGAACAACTTTCCATCATTTCAAACTAAGTAAGAGTCATGTAGTTGCAAATCAATTTCTTGCCCCATTCTTCATTAAAGTAAATTATACTTACACAAAATTATATTTTACAAGATTACATTTGACAACATTGAACATTGTTTCTACTACTGGTAGTGATCATGTTATGTTTCTAGATTCCGGTCACCTAATATTTCATTATCATTGCACATAAAGGTACACTTAGTTACTTAATATTTAACTTTACTTTGGCTACACTTGGCTACACTCAGCTACACTCAGCTACACTCAGCTGCACTCAGCTACACTCAGCTGCACTCAGCTACACTCAGCTACACTCAGCTGCTTGTTGTTTAAGTCTGATAAGGATTTTGTTTACGGCGCAAATGGACTTTAAAGATGACACAGGACACTTTGGTATTACATAACAAATTCTAATAACTCTAATAGATGGCTATATTTTTGTGTGTAAAATACAAACTTTTCAATTCACATTTTTTAAAAATTCAACAATGTTGATTACAAGCACAACTCTAAGGGACTGATTAAATGAGCATAAGGACAAAGCTATGAAGAAGAATCATACTTACCAAAGTTTGTTGATCGTCGTATCTTGTCTGTTGTCAGAGCCTGGGTAGCGAACACATGTCTCCAGCAAGATTTATAGTGGCTTGCATCCGGTATCAAGTTCCGTTATCCACCCACGGATTTATGCGGTTGACCAATCGTAGTAGGTCTAAGTCAGTGGCCTTGAATCCGGGTACTTATGTGGTTAACCAATCTTGGTGGTTCTGATTCTATGGCTTGAGTGGAGGTAGCAGCACGGACTTGTGTGTTTGATCAGTGGTAGCTGGTCATATTTAGGTCTATAATCTTGAGGAACGATAGTGCGTGGGTTAAAGTGCCCGTGTAACTTTTTACGTGCACCTAATTTCACATCCGTGGAGATATGTGACATATGTCAAGGTCATCAATAACGTGTATAAACATTGAAGACATTTTCATGGGAGAGCAAGATAAAGCAAACGGCAAATCAAATGAAAATAATTTTCTATATTTTCTACCAGCCATTCTAGGTGCATTTACATGTCAGCACTGAAGGGATGTGATATGGTTCTGGCCACTATATCCCTCTGAGACAAATGCTGGAGAACTATGATATGCTATTGTTGCAACACAATTAGACAATTAGGATTGTATGTACCAGGATTTAAAATATTCTATCACAACAGAACAACGGACAGTAATTAAAATTCAGGAGGAATACTGGCAGCGCTCAGAACTTATATCACAAGTCACTTAAAAAGTTACAGCGTGAATCGAAATATTCTCTGTATTATCTGGTTTGAAACATCATGTTAGTTTTTACATGTGACACACTATGGACAAAATGACACAGTGTATATCGCTATAGCATATATACCCAACGATCACGATATCACACATACAAAATGACACAGTGTATATCGTGATAAATTATATATCCAACGATCACGATATCACACATACAAAATGACACAGTGGATATCGTTATAACATATATACCCAACGATCACGATATCACACATACAAAATGACACACTGTATATCGTTATTACATATATACCCAACGATCACGAAATCACACATGCAAAATGACACCGTGTATACCGTTATAACATATATACCCAACGATCACGATATCACACATACAAAATGACACAGTGTATATCGTTATAACATATATACCCAACGATTACGATATCACACATGCAAAATGACACAGTGGATATCGTTATAACATATATACCCAACGATCACGATATCACACATACAAAATGACACAGTGTATATCGTTGTAACATATCTACCCAACGATCACGATATCACACATGCAAAATGACACAGTGTATATCGTTATAACATATATACCCAAAGATCACGATATCACACATGCAAAATGACCCAGTGTATATCGTTTATAACATATATACCCAACGATCACGATATCACACATACAAAATGACACAGTGTATATCGTTATAACATATATACCCAACGATCACGATAACACACATGCAAAATGACACAGTGTATATCGTTGTAACATATATACCCAACGATCACGATATCACACATACAAAATGACACAGTGTATATCGTTATAACATATATACCCAACGATCACGATATCACACATGCAAAATGACACAGTGTATATCGTTATAACATATATACCCACGATCACGATATCACACATACAAAATGACACAGTGTATATCGTTAGAACATAAATACTCAACGATCATGATATCACACATACAAAATGACACAGTGTATATCGTTATAACATATATACCCAACGATCACGATATCACACATACAAGATGACACAGTGTATATGGCTATAGCATATTTACCCAAGGATCACGATATCACACAAACACAACTTTCTCGGAGAAAAATTCTGAACTCTCAACTAAATCTAAATCTATACTAATTGTTGCTGACATAAACTCACTTACAGGTGTTTACGAGACTATGTTACTGTCGAGTATGATATTGTTAATGAACATCTATTACCTGATGAAATATGTAATTTCAATAACGATGCTGAAAAACTAGAATCGGCTGATATCTCGCTTGTAAGATTTAATCGGGACAAATGCAAAGTTAATTCACACAGATAAAATGTTCTTGAACTCTGTTATAACATTGTACATTGTCAACTTCAGAATTGGAGCAGACAAGGATATTTGTGAGGTAAGAATCTACAACAAAACGCCCTATGCAATAAACAAGTCATTATTGATTCACTAACGTCTAAGTATTTGTTGATTTGGAAGAAAACATATACAAGTTAAACATTGTACTACTATTGGAAAATCAGTATCCAGTTATTAAAAACCAATTAATTGACATTACAACAGAACTAATTAGCATGGTATATCACTGGTTTATGTCATGTACGTACACGCATGAAACGAATTAAGGATTTAGGATTGGATACGAGTTTCGTGGTAGTCAAAACATTTGTCTCTTGTCTGCGCGGAAAACTACAAAAGAGAGCATAAATATACTTACCATATGTTTAAAACAATTGGCAGCACTGACACGAATGCATATTCTTTCAATATTTTAATCTTAAAAACGAACAGGCATTGTCCCTCTTGTAGTAAATACGTCATAATGCACAATCAATATTTAAACAAAGCGCGACATTTCATTAAAATGTTACGTTGTCGCATTGTCGCGTTTGTAGTAAATACGTCATAATAAATGCTATCATCAATATTTTAACAAAGCGCAACAAACGCGACAATGCGACAATGGGCCATTTCATCAAATGTCGCATTGTTGCATTGTCGCGTTTGTAGTAAATACGTCATATTATATAGAATGATCAATATTTTAACAAAGCGCGAAAACGCACTTTTATTAGTTACGGCTGATTTAAAAATATATAACAAACTTGAATATTTTCGAAGTTTAAGCGGGGCAGAAATACCCAGGGATCGAACTCAGAACAATGATAAATGAGCTTACATCTCCCGCTGAGATACCATTCAACACCTATATCATTATGCTTAATTACTGGTTTGATGAAAATTAACATGGAAACATAGGTCGTAGCAAGTCCAGGATTAAATATCACATAGGATTCAAAAAGACTTGAAAAAGATACTTCAGAGACTTGAAAATACAGACTTGACGACACATTATTGTGACGAAATACCTCGCTAATTTACCAAGCTCCCTAAACCTAGTTTCATTGAAAAAGATATCAAGAAAGTGAGTAAGTGAGTTCCCAAGGATCCGTATACGCCACTTTGCAAAGCTATTTAATCGTGCGATATATCATAATGATGACAGTCCATTTGTATGGCGTTTTTTTCAACACAGACTATAACGTTCAAAGCCCTTTATTACTTTGTGAATTCTCAGTCCCAACGAGAGTATACGACCCAAGTTGTCTATGTAGTGCTAGAGGGTTAAGTCATATTATCATGACATTGTACCTGGTATCCATCCACTGCTGGCTGAACAGAGGCACATTTCGAACAAATTCACTCTACCAGAGAGACATCTGTGTATGTGTGTGTGCATCTGTGCGGGACAGTGCCGTCCCCAGAAACCCTCCTATAAGCCAAAGTGTCAAACATGGTCATCTATCCAAGGACTTCACCTGATGTTTATGCCGATGTGGCCAGAGTTTTAACGCCGCCTTGAACAATACTTCAGTGTTTCACAGCCTGTCAGCTTGATATTATTGGAGGAATGAGGAATGTGAATGGTGCTGGGATTCGAACCTATGATCATAGTTTTCTGTTGCTACTGAGAGACTCAACTCTGTACAGCAAATTGCCCCAACCGCACACCTCCCATTACAAGCCACATCCATGACAATCAACCTCCCATCACTGACACCTCTTAAGAATCCACCCTACACCAACTGCCAAAAAACACTGATAAACACACTGGTGGCCAGACCCGACTGATACCCTTGAAGGGATAACATGGCTTGCCAGTTTTTGTAGATCGATGCCGATGATATTGATTACCGCACTCAGCAATAATTCAGCTATATCTGGGCGTTTTGCAGCCACGTGTGTGTGATGAAAACTTTTAGGAAGTTGTTCAAAATGTGTTATGTCCAGTCTCATGGTGTTGATCACTGGATTGTCTGGTCCAACCTCGATTATTTACCAAGCGCCGCCATGTAGCTGGGATATTGCTGAGTGCGGCGTTAAACAACAACCAAACCAAGTTACACCCCCGCACTGTCCTTCATTTAGTTGTTAGGATATCCTTGACCCGACGTCAATGAGACACTCCACGATTGGTCAACCGCATAAATCCATAGGCGGATAACGGATGTTCATACCCGGATTCAAGCCACTATAAAGCTTGCTGGAGACATGTGTTAGCTACCCCAGCTCTGGCAACAGACAAGATACGACGATCAACAAACCTTGGTAAGTATGATTTTCTGTATAATGTTGTGCTTATACTCATTTATTCAGTCCCATAAACTTGTTGCTGTCCTCGTCTTCTTAACCTGTAGAAAAATATGTACTGAAAATTCTATGGTATTTAAATAAAAGATAAAACCAGTTATTACATGTATTAGTATTTGTTATGCAATACAAAATAAAGTCTATCTCATCTTTACAGTCCGTTTGGGCGGTACTTAATCACCTTGGCAGTCTTAGTAAAACTAAATAGACCCGTGAAGAACCGGGTTAGAATGGGTCTTCAACAACCCATACTTGTAAAAAGAGACTATCGGGATCGGGTGGTCAGGCTTGCTGACTTGGTTCATACATGTCATCGTATCCCAAATGCTCAGATCGATGGTCATGCTGTTGATCACTGGATTGTCTGGTCCAGACTCGATTATTCACAGACCGCAGCCATATAGCTGGAATATTGCTGAGTGCGGCGTTAAACAACAGGCAAACCAAACCAAAGTAAAGTTATATAACAAGTAACTAAGTGTACCTTTATGTGCAATGATAATGAAATATTAGGTGACCGGAATGGAGAAAAATAGAACATTATTACAACCAGTATAGAAACAATGTTCATTGTTGTCAAATGTAATCTTGTAAAACGTAATTCACAATGAACGTCAATTGTTGTTGTAGTACCATTATTGTGAGAAAAGGGATTGCGTTATACTGTACGCTCTGAAAATCTCGAACCATGAAAACAATGAATGATACGGGATGCACATGGTCCTTTCCACAGCCCACATTGTCTAAATGTAAGGAAACTGTACATATGACTTATTGCATAATTATGAAAATAGTAATTGTGTATCGCACAACTATGTTTTATAAATTGAAAAGCTAAATCTAATTAACACATAATATTCAACAATCAATATAACAATAAACAATAAAAGTCTAATTTCTCCTGACACTGAATATATTTACGAGTCGCACATTAGACAACATGTGAGCATGCTGCACATTTGTTTTATTTCGGTTTAGTGAACGCTTCACCCAAAACCAATTTGTTGTTGTAAGAGGCCAAGAATCTAAGAATACTGTCTTGGATAGGATATCGAAGCAATATAGTACACTGCAAACAAATAAAATGACTTTCTGAATACTGGACAAGAAGATGGGTTTACATTATCAGCTTTAACAACAGCATATGGCATTGCATCATTATTCACAAACACCGTTCCTTGGATATTTCCTGTACAGCTTTGTCTCCTTCGTCAGGTGAAAAATCGAAATAATGAAATAAACAAAGTATCAACCCCAATGAGACGGAATTGCCTAGTTCATTTTTTAAAACTGACTGGATTGTTTTATTACTTCGACCCTTAAATATGAGAGAACACGGGTGCACCTCATGTATAAAAGTGCCTCAATTTGCTGTAAAAAGTTGCGTTCCAGGGAACACCAGAAACCTGTTCGCTGTAATCCGGATTCACACCGAATATTCTATTCTATGTTTGTCAGAACCATTCATCGCAACCTCTTGAGAAAAAATGCTTCACACCTATTTACAGCTTGTAACAAGGTAACGCCAATTTAGCAACAGCTGAGTGAGTTGGCTCAACGATAAACTAGATAAACTTTTTTTACTCATCCTCTCTAGACAACACATTCTCCTCGGATTTTCTCACAGAAACAATGATCCAATTAACGTAATCATAATACTTTCCAAATATATACTGTTCAAATAGAAAAACCGGACAAAGAAAGTTATCACCGACTTTCACTTGATCTAAACATAGAAACAAAGACGTATGTGAGATTTATGATAATTATTCTACAAACAGAAATCCTTTTTCAATAATTTGACTGAAAGTTTATTGTAACCCTACTCTTGCATTTGCTGCAATTCATAAAGAAAGAATCAAGGGATCAAAATTACAAAATACTCAAACCAGAGTTCATTCAGAAAGTACATAAAGAGTTACATAATGAGACAGGTGTGAGGGAACACGTCACAAATGGCTAGTGTGGCCACCCTACACGCCAACACACGTCTCTTCATTGGCGTCGTCAGTCAACGGATGACGTCAGCAGGAATCATGTTCTATAAGTCCAAGAGAGTCTGTTCAAGTTCCTGTCGGTTCGCTGGAGGCGGTACACGCTGCCTCAGCTGACGAACAACATGATCCCAGGTATATCCAATGGGGTTCATGTCTGGAGAACGCTTTAGCAGGTATTCTCGAACAACTCTGGCGGTGTGAGGCCTTGTTGTTGTGCTGCAAAATGACCCCTCTTGGCTGTTGTCGAATAAAGGGCATCACAAAAGGTCTCAACGCTTCATTCCTGAATTGACCATGCCCAGTCATTCAGATTTCCTCAGACTTTTGGGGCAGCTGCGTTGTTAAAGGGACCATGTTGCGTTTTTGGGAATGTTTTCTGCTTGGGTTCAAACCACCAGCTTTGTTTATTTTCATACAATTGCTTTAAAAGTGATAAGTTTCTTTCTTTTGATAGTTTATATGTCACTGAATGCAGAACTATGACAATAAACAGATAAATTGTGTTTAATAACCTAGTGTGCCATCAGAAAAGTTACAACATAACGGTCTCTTCACATTATATATGTTTTTTAGCACTCTTTTACTGTGCAAGTTGTCAGTGTTAACACTCAGTCATTAACAGATGTAGGCGATCTAACTAAACGTATGTCGTATAGTTCATATGAGTAGTGTTGTGTGTAAATGCAAACACAAAGTATTTAAACATTAGCACAATTGGCTCAGTTAACATGAAAGTTGGTGTTGTGTGTGAACCTATTAAATAAGAGTTTGGTTAGGCTGGAATCTGAAAGATATTTTACTACTGATAGTGAAACCGAAATAGGTTCCAATGTTCTTATCCATCATTTGATAATATTTGCAAATGATACACAACCTGAATCATGAGATCTAACTCATGAAAACTTTGCCCTATATTTGCATGCATTTAACCTCGTACTTGTCTATCAATACCCTTGAGCCGTTCTGGAAATCCGTTGTCCAACACGACATTGACATCCCCTAATGAGAGGGTTTGAGGAAGGGTTACTTGGTGCTTCACTCCATGTATATTGGACTCCATGTGTCATTCACCTTCTTGAAATGTGGTAATTATATGATGTTTCTTTTCCAGGTTTGAAAGTTCCAGATATCTGCAGCAACATGGTATGGTTGGATCCCCTAATCCTAAACTAGCAACATCTACTGTATTGCTACAAAACGTTCAATTGTCCATTTTATTTTATTTTTTCTCTGTATTTCCCATCCTCCTCGCGACAGCCCAAAGTTCCTGACATAAAATAGTAAAACGTTTTCTGATCTCAAATGCGATAAAACAAAGTATACTCTTACCCTTGCATATAACAGAAACATAAAATTGATGTTTCTTCATCTACATATATTAAAAACTGTTTCTGAGGCAAAGAGACACGGTATACTTCATAAATTAATTCAAACATTGAAAATAAAGTAAGGTTCCAAATTAGTGCAAAACAGTGTGTGTTATTTATCACTTATATATTTTCTTGGCCCGTCCGCTCTCTTGTTTTTTCAAGTTGGAAATGAAACACACAAAAATACAGATGGTCTTGCTCATGTAGTCACCCTACAGTTTATCAAGAGCGGGGTTGTTTAGCAGTAAGGTGGCAGTTTTCAGCGTTAACACACTGAATGAAAAAGGTTTTGTTGCTTTTATTCATCTGAGTGAGTGTGTATTTATACGCTGCTTTTAGCAATGACATCAAAATATCAACAGCATGGGACACCAGAAATGGGCTTCAAACTTTGTACCGTGTGGGGAATCAGAACCCGGGTCTTCGGCGTGACGAGCAGATGCTTTAACCATTAGACTACCCCGCGCCCCTTAAGATATTAGTCTGTGAAAACCATCTGCTTTTGTGTAATTTGAAAAACAAAGCAGGCAACAGAAAGACTAGATGTAATTGCTCCCAACCTGTAGCTACAGATGATGAGCTCGGTAATGTCTGGAGGAAGGATTCAGAATACATCTTTTTGATTCACACTTCAGAAACTGATGAATAATAACAACTTATACCGAAACGTCGAATCATAATGTAATAAAGAAGTTGTCATCCTTAACGTATCTTACCTTTCTTATATTCAGAATTCATGTTGGTAAATAGTCGAAGCTATGTCACAACAAAAGGTAAATACGAATCTGGACCCGGAAATCCAGTGACGTAATGATGTATGGACATTTTTCTAACTGAAAGCAATGGCGACATTTTGATCTATCTATACCTGTTTTATCATTTCAGAGCATTCAACCACAAATAAACGTTATCTTGTACAGCAATGCCAACCTCACTGGCGACTGTTTACCAGTATCTAAAGACATAGCGGATTTGAACATCTTCAAGAACAGGGCTCAGTCAGCCATTGTAGTCCATGGAAGGTAAGTATATATTTATATATATTCTCACACAAAGTAACCCATAATGTCCCACAATATATACTGACCATCAGTTGGATGTGGCCGATGAGTGATGCTACTGCCTTCTACACGCAAACAGGAGCTTGTAGAAGGTATGGGGCAAGTAATGAACCTGGACATAGCCCGAAGTGGTGGTTACCCTGTGTGGCACTTGAGTCTGTCACACATAATTGATTACAAGTGCCACACAGGGAAATTGTGTGGAGGGCATGTACCACACAGGGACAATTTCTTTAAGAGGCATTTTAAAAGTTGTATAGATGAAGGAAAAACAAGTTCTATGGATAGTCAACCTCTTTATTGCAATGAGTCGCGATGTTTCGTGTAGGTACTAGCACTGTTATCAAGCAAGTGGTTTTCCTTCACACAGGGACAGCTCACTATTTCAGTTAATTAGCTGTAGTGAGGTGTGAACTCATGTGTGGAGTACAGCATGTGTGAGAGAGACATTCAGTCATACCCGAACAATATTTCATTTTTTCAATATTTACATTTTGAACAATATTTCTCCAAGTTTTAATGAGTAAACTTCAGTATTTTTTGTTTATATGGTATTCAAACTCGGTTGAGATTGATAGATGTTTATCAATGCAATGTAGTAAAATGCATGAACATTGTTCTGTTTCTCGTCTTTATAAATACTTACGTGAATAGTACTAAATCATTGGTGTTATTGCTATCTAATAAGGTTAATCAAAGGTGTTAATGATTTAGCCCTGATCAATGAGTTACGCCTTGCTGCACACATGCGCTATAGATGGACATAACAAACAATCAAGTGCCACACAGAAAATCTTCACCCAGATGAATTAATTTGCCGACTGTTCATCAAGGAAGCAAAAATGATGTTCTGAAGTTTTCTACCGTTTTAATTTCTTCTAGTTGGCAGCTAGCAAGCGCTTCGGGACATATATTCTCTTTCGAAGGGTACCGGAACATATTCTGACCTTGGTACTTTCAAACAAAAGGCCGTCTCCATCACCCGAGTGTAAGGTATATATATTTTCTTCTATAAAAAGCTTACCACAGGTATTAGATTTCGAAACTCTCTTAGCGCTAAGATAGTCGTAAGTGCCATACATTAACATTAAATTACGACTACCTTTAGCGGTAAAGAGAGCTTCGAAAATCTAGGCCCTGAAGGTTATATTGATATAATGAATCCAAACGCTTATTCAGTGAGTGTCCGATGTTTATTTTGCAGGCGCCGTTGCCATGAAGGAGACCCTCCCGACAAAGGGACATACCAGCCACCTGCATTTCTGCATTTTCGTCTGCGATTTCCTGTACTCTTGATTTTCCTTTACTCCAGATTGTTATGCTTTTAATGTCTAATGTTTAGCTATGCTTAAGTGGGTTTGCTTTAAGGTGGGGATAGGAACCGACGTAGGTTGTAAGTGTGTGGTTATTACGGTGTTCAGAGACAAATGGGTTTACTCTCACCGCCTCTTGGTACAGTTCGTCAAAATCACGAATAGTCATAATATCTACAGATAAACTAACTCGACAGAGCAATTACATCATCTTAATCCAACAATGTTGTCTTTAATTTTACAGTAAAATGATTATAAATAAATACGATGCAGAAAAATTGTGCTCATTTCTATTCTGAAGTTCTTGGTGTAACATTAACTTTACCACCTGTGCAATTGTTTCACAAAGCTATGTTCATTCTGGAACAATGAATGCTAACAGGATGAAGGTCACATTGTTGACATTATGCCTCAAGTTGAAGTAGCTGTAATGATATTTGAAATGTATCAGGCTAGATAAGGAGCAGTCCGTTTTAACTCGCCTTCATATTTTATGATGAATTTTCTGCTCCTGAGTTTTGTCCAAGTACGTGGCTTGGCGTATAATATATGTTATTTGACTCTATATAGAGTCAGTAAGGAATAGGAAAAACCGAGACAAACTGTGACTCCTTTCGTTGTTGAAAATAAACATTTGATGAAATTGAACGTTTCTTGTGTGTTTGTATATGTGCACATGAAGTATGACGGTGTCTTTGTCTGTTACAAATGAACACAAATCTGGGACTTCCAACTATGTGTATGTCATTGTTTGTTTTGTTCAACACCGCAATCAGTAATATGCCATCCACATTGCGGCTGTCAGTAAGTACTTGAGTCATGACCAGACAATGCAATGATCACCATCATGAGCGCTATCCACGCATTTGGGAACCGATGACATGCGTCAACCAAGTCAGCGAGCCTGACCACCCGATTCCGTTAGTCGCCCCTATTACAAAAAGCATGGGTTGGTGAAGACCAATTCTAACCCGGATCTTCTCCGTTTAAAGGTACACAACTCTAGCGCTGGTACAGTTAACAACTATGTGACTAATGTCGTTCCACCAGATGAGTGATAACAAGACTACAGACTGGCGACATCTTATTCATTTCACGAAATGACTGATTTCAATAATCTGTCTGTAACATATACGTCTGTGGATAAACTTTATGTTATAATGATGTGTGGTCTTGTGTATGTAGGTGTTTGGTCTGACCTTAGGCAAGTGTGTTTGGTCAAAATTGCTGCTATTCTCCCAGCAAGAAAACGTCATATGACTATTAACCTTCTAGCGCCTCATAAGCAGCTTGGGTTTTTCGGGGTAATAATGTCCATTATGCTTACACAAGCCCCGTGCAGTGTGGATTTCAGTGCTATTTTGGCCTTGTTATTTCCCACCACTATACGTCCAATTGTAATAAATTTAGTGAGACTTTCTAACACCTTCTCAGTGCACTTCAGCAATACCACAAACACATTATCTTAACACGATGGGGTGGGTCGTCCTTTTCTACCCACCTTCGCCATGTTTGTGGTTGTGACTCAGTTGTCGTTGTGTCATCATGGAAAAAAATGACAATTACAAAGTTCTCAAAACCAACAAACCCAACCTTTTACTATATCAATAGAAACTATTTACATCATGGCAAATATGCGGGCCTCCCTTTGAAATGCCTCGCTTGCATCTTAAGTTCCAAGTTATTATTATAGGATATCTATATAGCGCACATATCCAGGCAACTAGTGCATGCTCAAGGCGCTGGTCCTTTTTCCCCTCCAACATTTGATGTCATCTAAAAGGCACATCGTATTATCAATCTCAACTCCCTGGGGAGTATACAACTCTTGCAGCCACTAGGCGCACCGAGTTATTGTGGCTTCTCATCCTAACGATGTCCAACTCCTCGATGTCCAACTCCTCGATGCTCTTGGTGCCATAGGTTTGGTACCACCTAATCTCTTGACTGAAATTGGAAGAGTATTCGGATTTGCTGTCAAGGAGACAGGCCTTCTGGCACTCTAGTTAATGCATAAGGCTGCAGACCTTTACATGCCCCGAAAGGTTTTTGGTGGGTTTGACTAGGCAGCGCTTCCCGGGAGAAGTCCCATAAGGCGTCTGGGCTGCGTGCTGTATCAGGAACACAGCCCTTCTGACACTTCTAGGTAATGCGTAAGGCTGCAGTCTTTGTGGGAGTCTTCACTTCCTCCGAAATGAGGTTCGACATTCGGTTTGTAGAACGTTCTCGGGCAGGGGGGATGGACTTATATAAAAGTCCCGTCCCGTACTTTTAACTAACGAGCAACAGAAACGAAATAAAATTTATTTTGATAATTCGAACTCAAATTTTGTAGGTAGTTATGAGCTTAAAACAATCGCCACAATGCTTTCCTAACATTTGTCACGAAAAATGTTGTGTTTGGGCGAACAGTATCACCGCAACAAGTCTTGAAACACGAAAATCTTGTGAACGGACGTGCATCTTTGGGTTATGAGCGTGCACGCAAACCTTCCTCGACATCAGACCTTCAAGTCAACTTTAGCGACCATGCCCTGATTATCGCAGTAATCCAGAAATCGAGCAATTGGAATGGTACAGATGGGGCCTTGTGCTGTCATCACGAGGCTGATCACCCGCTACAGGCAAACAGGATGGACAGTAGACAGGCCCATAGGGTGTAAGACCTCGTGTCACCACCCCAACGAAGACTGCTACTTACGTATCCTGCATCTGAGAAACCGTTTCACACCTGTGACGTCATCAGCAGCGAATGGGCTTCGACATCCTATCAGTCGGCGAATAGCAGCTTGATGACTCCAGACAATACGGTATCCAGCGCCTACAGATCTTACCGTGGTAAGATCGACGTCAACGTCTTCGATGGGCACACATAGTTCGCCAGTCTCAAAACAGACAGTGACAGGGAGTGATGTTCTCAGGCGAAAAGGATGCCCCAGCTGTTCGAATGATTGCAGGGCTGGTGTTTGATGGCAGCGATACGTGGTTAGAGGGCTGCATGTGACGATATGAAGGCAGACCTTGTTGTGGTGGATGGTAATCTCACTCTGTTCAACGATACATTGATCAAATTCCGCCCGTTGTGCTACAATTCCTACGTCAACACCTTTAACCGATCATGTTCCAGCAGGACAACGCCCGTCCCCGTACAGCACGTATTGTCATGGATTTTCTACAGAGAAACAACGTTAACGTACTTCCTTGGTCCCCAGGTCACCTGGACATGTCACCACTAAAACACCTGTGGGACCATATGGATTCGTGCTATAACCGTTGTTCCTTGAAAACCGACGCCAGCTTGCCCAAACCCTTCAAATTGGAATGGCGAAGGATTCCTTGGTTCTCAAGGTGTACGACGTCTGATGTTCTCAGCACGTCGTAGAGTTAGGAGCTTGCATTGATGCCCGCTAATAGTGCGTACCAGACACCGCCCACGTGTGTTCTTTTGTTTACATCTGTGATCGAATACTGGACACTTTATATTCCTTCATTAGTACAGTAGCTCAATGGACTTTTATTATTGCTACTCTGATGTTTGCCCAACACTCCGTTATTAAAATTCACTGTCCTTTTCACAATGGTGGTTTTAAAATACGCTTTGTAATGACGAGTGATTTACGACTCTGATATCGTTTCTTTTGCCCGTTAGTTTATATATTCTATACCAAGTACCCTTTTGCCTGGGATATTATTCTTTAGAAGGTTCCTCAGTCCGTGTTTTCATAAAACCTCCCTGGGGATATAGTATATGGAAAGTTCACCTGTTCCAGGCATGTTCTATAAAAAGCCTTCCTAGAGATGTTTCTTACGGTCCTCGGAGGCATATTTGAACAGAAAGCAGGGTCCTATGTCCGGAGGGGTATTCCCATAAAAAGCGCCTCAGTTTTAGGGGTGCCTCATAAAAGGTTCCTTTGATACTCCTGATATTCTTGGCTAGAAAATGCACATCTGTTCCTGTGATATGTTATGGCAAAGGTCCTTTCCCACAAATAATCTGCAGGAAATGTCCATGATAAGCACGCAGTAGTTTTGGTAGACATTGTAAACCAGAACCTAAGCAATGACCAAGCTTGTAGTTCTATTTTAATGCAAAGTTCCTCTTTATTGTAAATATTATCCATAGGTATAAGAAACCTATAATTTATATTTGGACACATTCCACACCTATAAGATCTGAGTTAACGTAATGCTGTTTCAGTGCATTCCAAGCAGTATAAATTCTCAGCTGGGACTTTCTCCAAATTATTCCCCTGTGTCAGTGATATTCCAATTAAAACAAAGATTTTCTACAGACAGTGCCTCCAGCCCGCGGTTATGGATATTCATGTCTTATTTCTAGAATATGCCCTCTGTTACCATCCGGCCGGCGATACTCAGTGCCACGTTTTAAAACTAATAGATTTAAAAACTCTTTTGTACCATCTAGTATTAGACTCCTAAATAATTGTTAGATTTTATTTCGGATTCTTTGCATGAACTGTATGTTCTATGTACATGTATGTAAGTATGTCTGTCTTATGTCTTATATTGCTATATGTGCCATGCATCGTATATTATTCTATACTTTCAAAATGTAAAAGGAATTCCCTCCTGTG